GCCTGTGGTTGGGCCTCACTGTGCTGTGGGTGGTCCCCCTTGGGCTGCCGGGGACGGGCTGTATCTATGAGCATCCCTGCTATCTGCTGTCCAGGGCGCGAGCCCAGGACAGCTCGGGACGTGAGCCTTGCTGCCCATCACCTCATGGCCGTCCCGCACCTCCCCCCACAGCTCATCCACCTGGAGATCAAGCCTGCCATCCGGAACCAGATCATCCGAGAGCTACAGGTCCTGCATGAGTGTAACTCCCCGTACATCGTGGGCTTCTACGGGGCCTTCTACAGCGACGGCGAGATCAGCATCTGCATGGAGCACATGGTGAGTGCTGCAGCGCCTGCACCGGGCTGGGTGGGAACCAGACCCAGGGAGTGGACGCCTGCAGGCCAGGCCCTCCTCCTCGCACAGTGCCTCGGTGATGGTGACTTCTCGACGCCTCATATCCCCGGCCTGAGGCTCACTGGCCGCTCCAACTCCCCAGGCCGGCACCAGGCTCTAGGCAGCCGTGGGTGTGGATTGCCCCATTGCTGAGTGGACAGAGGCCTCCCGAGAGAGCTATGGCTTCTAAGCCAAAGACCCAGGGTTCCTGCAGTCTGGGTGTCTGCCCCTTGGGAAGTCTGGTCGTTAACTTACGAAGGGCAGATGGGGGGCTTCCTGCTTATGGCCTCCCAGGTCCCTGTTCTCAGAGGCGGCAGCCGTTTCAGAGGGCATCCTTCTGTGCTTCAGCGCCAGAGACGGGCACCGTCAATATCAGACCTGGGCCTCGAGCCATCGGGAGCAGTTCTGCCGGGCCTGGAGGCACTGGGGCAGTGCCCGTGTCGCACGGCACATGATGGACCTTGACCTGAGTGGACCGGGCTCAGGGGCCCACCTAATCGCTGACTGACTGTGTCCAGGCAGAGCCGTCCCAGGCTCTGTAATGACCGGTACTGCTGTGGGGTTTACAAATGGCTTAGACTGATGGGAAGTGCAAACACAAGTCACCCCATGACCACCTAGCCCAGGGTTCATGTAGGTCAGTCGACGAGGTCAAGGCATCACTACCTGTCACCTACTCAAGTCAAACCTGGAGACTCAAGTGCTGCTTGAGGCCTTTGCTGCCCTCTGCCCTCGTGGAGCCGGCTGGAAGTCCTTAGATGCCCTAGCTCTGTGCTTTGGGCACTTGGTGTGTCAAGGAAGGCACTCTCTGCCTGCCCTGAGGAGTTTGCTGCTTGTCCCTGAGGGCTGTTGGGTCAACCACGACTTACAGTGACCCCACAGGACAGCATGGGACTGCTCGTGGGGTTTCCTAGGAAACAGCAGCAGATCGCCAGCCCTTTCTTTCTCCCACAGAGCCCCCAAGTGGGAGCTTTAGATTTGCAGCTCCCGGACTCCTTGAAGCCCTAACTTAAAGCCAATCTCACTGCCATCCAGTCGTTGCCCCTCCCAAGATAGTTTAGAGCTGCTCCCTGTGGGTTTGTGAAGCTGTCAGTCTTTACAGCAGCAGAAAGCCTCATCTTTCTCCTGAAGAGCGACTGGTAGTTTCAAACTACTGACCTTGGACTTAGCAGTTCACAGGTAACCTGCCAAGCTACGGGACCCTTTGCCTTTGGAGCACTAGTGCCCTCTTTACCCACCATGGAGCCTTCTGCTGTGGGCTTTGACCTAGGGGAAGGGTATTAAACAGGTATACATTGTTTCTGTAGATACACTTAATAGTGGAAAGGCCAGGTCCAAGGGTATGTACTATTTTAGAAGCCTCATTGTTAGGAGCCCTGGTGGCATAGTGGTTATGAGTTGAGCTGCTAGCCACAAGGTCAGCAGTTCGAAACCACCAGCCACTCCATAGGAGAAAGAAGAAAGCTAGTTTGAGAAACCTAAGGAGCAGGTCTACCCTGTGCTGTAGGGTCGCTGTGAATGAGCATCGCTTGGCTGGCAGTGAGTTTGCTGGTGGTTACTCCCTCCAGGGAAACCGGATGAGGCCATGGTGGTTTGTGGTGGAATTCTCGCCTTCCACTCAAGAGACCCCAGTTTGACTCCCAGCTGAGGCACTTGCTGCACAGCCTCCACCTGTTAGTCGAGGCTGCCGTTTTGCTTGGACGGCAAACAGGTCCCAGAAGGACTTTCAGACTCAGACAGACAAGGGAGAAAGGTCTGGAAATCTATGTCCAAACATCAGCCAGGCAAGACCCTACAGATCACAGTGGTCCCGAGTGGCCAGTGCAGGGTCAGGCAGCCTGGGGTTGCCGCGAGCTAGGGGCTGGCCCGGCAGCAGCAAGGAAAGGGAGCAGTCGGGGGTTTCTATGACACCCTATTGTTGAGAGCCGCCCCCTGATGAAGACACTGGAAGTGGGGGGAGGGCGTGTAAGAAAGCAGAAGTGGTCAGGGCTGAAGGCCCGAGGGGAAGTGCCACCAGCCCTGCAGAGAACCGAATTTGTCAGGTGTGGTGCTTCCTGCAGCCAGGCTCAGAGGCCCCGGGCCTGCCGGCTCCCTTGCGACAGACTCCAGGAGACCGCGCCTGGCTCTGGGCACGTCGGTTAGCCTAGAAAACGCAGTGTCACCTTTGCTAATCCTGAGACCAGGCAGGAAATGAGGTTGAGCAAGCTCAGGGCCTGAGGAATGCCTGCGAGCTGAGGTCTAGGGCTGCTGGGACACCCGAGGGTGATGGGAACCGGCAATGCCGGCTTCCAGCCTGGTCAGGTGGTCCCCAACAAGGCCCTGCCCTGCTGCCAGGTTCCCGCTGGCCACCTGGGTGGGAAACCCTCCCCACCTCCCCCACCCCGCCAGGCGGAAATTGAAGGGGGAAGAGAGGTGGGGCGGGGCTTTGTGGTCTGGGGGTGGGTGGCAGCCACCTGCCACCTCTGACTACCCCTCCTCCCAGCTCCCCCAGCAGGCTGCCAGGGCCCCAACAGTGACTCAGCCCCTCTCTCTATTGATGAATGAAGCCACGTACCCGCAGGGCCCGGCACGGGGTCCCGGTACGTCCTCCTCGCCATGCCGGCAGCATGCCACCTGTCCTTGCCAGCCATTGTGGCTGTAGAGCAGCTCGTCAGGCCTGTCTTGGGGTGTTCCCCAGGGGGTTTGAAGCGCCAGCCCAGGGATCTATCCCTTGCAAGCAACCTCCAAGCCGGCCGGCCTGCGCAGACAGGATGCACGGGAAGTGCATGTGTCCACCTGTGGTCCCAGCCCCCCTATTTGCTCTCCATGTGGTCTGCAATCAAAGCACATGGACCCCATCCCAAAATATGGGGAGCGCTTCCTGTGTTGAGCACCCCAAGTGAGGAAGCCACCTCTGAGGGCAAAGTGACGCCCCCGCAGGGGGGTGGAGCCATCGAAGCCCCAAACCCATTGTCTCTCGCCTGTGGGCTTTGACTCCTGAGCCCTGGGCAGTCATCGGGGTGGGTTGGCTGAAGGGGGTTGCCAGGCCTTTATTCAGAGGCACCTCTGAGTGGTTGGTGCCTCCAGCATTTCTTTCCGTCCGAGGCAGAGTATGTTCACAGGCCCTTGACCTCACCAACAGCACAGCTCCAAACCAAGAGCTCCAGGGCGGGCAGCCGCCCAGCGGGCGAGTGCAGGGTTGGATGGGGGGTGGGGCACGCAGTAAGAGTGGGCCGCAAGGTGCTGACAGCAACGCAGGGCGGCTCTTGGTGTTTGTTGGGTTGAGTCTACGGAAGAGCGCGCTGTAGTGAACATTGGATATGACCGTCAGGAGGAGGATCATTCCAGAAAGATCCCGGCTGCCCTGTGGTGACAAAAGGACAATGGCAAACGTGTCCCAGGAGGGCAGGGAAGTGGCGTAAGTGTACACTGAGGAGATGGGTATGGTGTACGGTGCATGAGAGTGCCCGCAGGTGCTCCGAGGTACATGGGAGTGTATGAGTGTGCCCCTTGGTGCATGGAGAGCACATGTGCTCTGAGGGCAGGATGGGTGCAGTGGGAGAGGAGTCCTGGTAAAAAGCACTGTACTGGGGTGGGGGAGGACACACAGGCACTGTGAGTTGAAGAGAAGTGTGTACAGTGAAGGGGGGCAGTGTCGGGGGAAGACAAGGGCACTTGTGTACTGTGGGGATGTGTGATTAAAAAGTGTGTGCATGATGAGGGGACAGGGAGGGGACATGTCACCCGCGTGCTATGAGTGGGGTCGATGAAAGGACACGTGTGCGGTGGGCTTGGGGGGTGACAAGGCCACACGTGAATCGTGAGGAGAGGCGAATGAAGTGCCATGCGGGGAAATCCGTAAGACACTGTTCCATGGGGACAAAAAGCAAGATGCAGGGGCCACAGCACGAGGCGATTGTGTCCGTCTGAGCTTTTGCTGTGGGCAGATGTGTGGAAGGATCTGGAAGAATACGGGCCTTGCCTCGATTCAGCTGAGGCTGGGGGAGTGGAGCTTCCAGGCAGGAGAAGACGCTGCGTAGGACAGAGGCTTGCGGGCCGGTGATGCGTGACAGGGAGGCCATTGGCAGATTCTCTGGCATCATATCCTGGAGCTTGCTCCAGCCGGCCTCTTAGCGAGAGCAGGGCCCTCAGTGGAGGGGTGCTCCCACCGCCTCCAGGGGCCCAGGCTGTTGCTCAACACCCTACAGTGCACAGAACCGCCCAGTCTGTGTGCCAGCAATGCCAATGGGGGGCCCCGATGTTACAGAAAACAACCGAGTTGGTCCCTGCTCCCTACTCACACCCATCTACCAGAATAAACCCCAGCTGGATCAGACGGTGTCCACCTAGGGACCCTCCACCCTGTGATCGCCCCCCACCCCCACCCCCTTCTCCCCACTCAGTGTATAGATGTCAGTTTAGGCGGCAGGGTTTCAGGTGATGGTGGGACACTGGGCAGGTCTGGGGACACTGGGTTTTCATGACTGGGGAGATGATGCTGGCAGCAAGTAGGTGGGGGTTATGGGTGCTGCTCAGCACCCCACAGTTGACAGTTTGCCCCAGCAGGCTCCAGCCCCCGTCAGTGTGGCCTTCCCACCAGCCAGATTAGGGCTTGCGGAGCCTGGATGCCCGTCCCCTCTGTCTTGGTTTCCTGCCTGTCAAGGCAGCCACTGGCTGGTGGACACCATCACTCTGGGTTTCCTGCATCTTCGGACTGCTGGATGTGAGGGCAACGCCCTCAGAGCAGGGCGAGGGCCAGAGTGCCTTGATCCTGCCTCCTCCCGAAGTCCAGCCCATGTGCCCGCCCTAGCACGCACCCATGAGCCTGCGTGTCTGCTGTGCAATGTCACAAGGGGGCAGCTGAGAATCCCAGGGTGGTGTCGGCTGTGCTCTGAGCTTGGCATGGCACCTCTCGGTGTGGGAATGTCTCCACAACACCCCACCTCTGATGAGGCCCTGGAGTGTGGAGGCCACTGCTGGCATTTGGGTGGGGGGGTGGAGTGGGGGGACTGGCTCTAGTCAGTAAGCCCGGGGTCTTGGCTGGGTGTGCTTGGGACCTTGGGAGTGACTTCTGTCCAGGCTGCTGTTCTCAAACCCCAGGCACCAGGTGACTGGATTGGGTTCGGGGCGGGGGTGGGGTGGAGATATGGCACCAGGACTTCTCGTGGCTTTGCCCCCACTGAGGATGCACAGGCCAGGAGAGCTGGCCAGGTCTGCAGGTCCAGCCTTTAAAATCACTAGTCCACAGCCTGCGAGCTGCCGCGTGGCCCAGGCCCAGTAGGTCAATGGCTGGGGACCGAATGATGCCCAGAGCCCCGCCTGCGCTGTGTAGACTGAGCCATGTCCAGAAGCTGAGTCACGGGAGCGGCCGGCACACTGCCCAGGGAAGGAAAGCACAGGGCAGGTGGCACTGGCTGGGGGCTCTCCTCCTCCCCAGTTCCTGGTGGCTGTGGGGACAGGGCTGGGCCTCCTTCACCAGCCACGCCGGCGCCCCAGATCCCTGCCTGGGCCCCGGGGTGCCAGCTCTCCCCCAGGACTCAGAATAGTGTCGTCGTCGTCGTCCCCCCCCCGCCCCCCACAGGACGGAGGCTCCCTGGACCAGGTGCTGAAAGAGGCCAAGCGGATCCCAGAAGAAGTCCTGGGGAAGGTCAGCATTGCGGTAAGTGAGGCCCTGCCCACTTATCCCCAGGGCCTGCCCTCTGCCCTCGAGGCCTCCACCCCACCACTGTGGGGCTCTGAATGAGAAACCTCCCCTTTTGGCTCCTTGAGTTCTCTATCCCACGGCCGCTGTCTGCCCTGGGCAGCTGGCCACCCCGCCCTCCTTCTGCCCTGTCATCCACAGCCAGGGCCCTGGGAAGTGGATGCTGGCCCAAGTGTATGAGGTAGAAAGTGAAACTCTGGGTGGGAGGGCGCAGGGCCACTGAGACCCCTGACGCCTGCTGTCTTATCAGTAGGTGTGCAGAGGGCACCCCTTCCTGCTGTCTGGGCCCCTCTTTCCCACCAGGATGTGCTCTGGGCCATAGGAGCTGCTTGTCACCCTTCCATGCCTTTGCCTCGGGTGGGCTGGGGGCTGGGTGTGTCACCAGGCCCTGGTGCCTCGGCTCCAGAAGCCACCATGGGGACTGGCAGTTCTGTCATTACTTCATTCCACGGAGGGACTGCCAGGCCCATCTGTTTGGGGGAGCTCAACACTCAGCCCTTCCCTCTAGAATGGAGGTGCCATCCCCTGTCCCCTGGGGAGGGGCTGTAGGGACACAGTGGCTTCTGCACTGGGCTGCTAACTGCAGGGTTAGCAGTTCAAGCCCCCCAGTCACTATGCAGACAAAGATGAGGCTTTCTACTCCTGTAAAAGAGAATTATGGCCTCCAAAACCCACAGGGGCAGTTCAGCCTCATGCTATAGCAGTGGTTCTCAACCTATGGGTCGTGACCCTTTTGGAGGTTGAATGACCCCTTTACAAGGGTCACCCGATTCATAACAGGAGCAAAATTACAGTGATGAAGTAGCAACAAAAAGAATTCTATGGTTGCGCGGGGGGTGGGCGTGGGGGTTGGTGGTGTCACCACAACATGAGGACCTATATGAAAGGTTTGCTGCATTACGAAGGTTGAGAACCACTGGTCTATAGGGTCCCTGTGGGCCACAATCACCTTGCTGGCAGTGAGAGTGTGTTCGGGCACCGGGAGCGTCTGGGTTGACTGTGGCACAGGGGCCCTTGGTGTGGACGGCCTTGGTCCCTCAGGGGCAGCTGTGCAGACGTGTGCTGCTAGGGTGCTGAAGCTTCATAGGGAGAAAGGCCGGTGACGATGCTCGAGGCACAGTTAGTTCCGACACTCGGAGGCAGCCCCCAGCCATCTGCAGCCAGTCATGTTCTCAGGCTGCATCTTGCCAAGCCCCGCAGGCCCCAACCAGCGAAGTCTGCCAGTGCTGGGGGGGTCCCTGCATCTCAGCCAGAGGACGCTAGCTCCCCATAGTCACGGCCCACACACGTGGCAATCCCAGCCTGGTCAGCTGGCCACTGCTCCAGCTCGGCCTCTCCGCCACTCCCACACATGTGAGCTCCTGTCCCTGAAACTGAAGTCCCCCGCGGGGAGCTGGACCCCCATCCCCTGACGCCCACCCTTACCCGTCCCCACAGGTTCTCCGCGGCTTGGCATACCTCCGGGAGAAACACCAGATCATGCACCGAGGTAAGGGCTGGCGAGCCTGGCCCTGTCCGGGAGGGGGGCCCAGCGGCTGGACCCTCACTCACCAGCCCGGCTCTCCCCCCAGACGTGAAGCCCTCCAACATCCTGGTCAACTCTCGGGGGGAGATCAAGCTGTGCGACTTTGGGGTCAGCGGGCAGCTCATCGACTCCATGGCCAACTCCTTCGTGGGCACGCGCTCCTACATGTCGGTCAGTGGCCCGGCCTCGTTGGGACTCTGCTCTGGGTGCCTGCCTGGTGCCTCCCTCTGTCCACTCCTCTCTACTCCAGCTCCTGGTCCCAGATGATGGTGGGAGGGGCGGGTGAACTCACCTGGCAGCGACAGTACTGTGGGGACAGAGGCCTGGCCATCTGCTCCAGTCAGGCCAACAGTCCAGATGACCCTCCTCACAGTTCTGCTCAGTCCTGGGGGTCTTTGCAATGAGTCAGCATCGCCTGGAGAGGTTCTCCTCCCTGCAACAGAGAGCATATTAGAGCCCAGATTCCACCCCTCTCAGAGGTTAGAAAAGGCCTGTGTAGCCCAAGCCCACGGTGCCTGGCTTCCCTCAGCCCTGTGAGCTGTGCCCCACAAGGCGGGAGGTTCCTGGCCCCGAGGTGACTATACACTGGCACCATGGGCTCCACCTAGCTTCAGCGGGTTTGGGGTTCTGTGGAGAGAACAGGAGCTCCTGGGCGGATCCCGTGAGCAGATCCTAAAAGACCTGCTCCCACTGGTCAGGAGCAGGGAGGTGTCCCCTGTCTGTGTGGGATGGCTACTGTCAGCCTCAGCTTGAAGACCCTTAGGGGCAGGCAGGCAGGCAGGGCGCCCAGTGGCCCTGGATGCTAGCCCCTGCCCCCTTGGCCTTTCTCCCCACAGCCGGAGCGCCTGCAGGGCACCCACTACTCAGTGCAGTCAGATATCTGGAGTATGGGCCTGTCGCTGGTGGAGCTGTCCATTGGGAGGTACCCCATCCCCCCACCGGACGCCAAGGAGCTGGAAGCCATCTTCGGCCGGCCAGTGGTCGATGGGCCCGAAGGAGAGCCCCACAGCGTGTCCCCGCGGCCTCGGCCCCCTGGACGTCCCGTCAGTGGTACGGCCTGGGTCAGGGACCTCTGCCCCAGGCAGCCTGTGACCCCCCGCCAGGGACTGCAGCTGTCACCCCAGGCCCCTCTCTGCACCACCTGTCCCCAAGTAGAGCTGATGTGGTCAGGAGTCCTCAGACGGTCCCGCCCCACGGCTATTCCGTGCAGGGCAGCTGCACCTGTTGCTGCCAGCTGGAAGGATCTGGAACCTAGCTCCCGGGCCAACCCCGGGGTTGGCTGGTTTCCCTGCATTTTGTCATGAAAATGGTCAAACTGACAAAAGGGAAAGTCTTGCCCAGTGAAGACACAGGCAGTGGATCTCAACCTTCTAACATCGTGACCCTTTCATACCTTTCCCATGTCGTGCTGACCCCCCAACCACACGCTACTTTATCGCTGTAATTTTGCTATGGTGAATCAGGCGACCCCTGTGAAAGGGTCGTTCGGCCCCGAAAGGGGTCAAAACCCATAGGTTGAGAACTACTGCTCTAAGGGGTTTCCTCAGGTGGCTGCCTGGCTGTGGCCTGACACGTGCCCCCATGCCCCGCACAGTCTGGGGAGGGCAGCTGGGCCCCTATGGCACCTTCCAACTCCTCATGAGACAGCCCTGCGTCCATGGGGTGGTCAAGCTGGAGCAAGGGGCCATTGGTAGGGGGTGTCGTAAAGCTTGAATCTTACTTTAGTTACGTGACAGGAACAGGGTCAAGTAAATTAGAGCCAGGGGACCATGCAGTCAGTGTGGGGTTTGTCCCAGCCGTCTACCTGTGTGCAGCTCAGCAGTTTCCAGTCTCCACCGCTCAGGACTGGTGGCTCAGTGTCACCACTGTCTCATTCCACAATGTTTTCATGCCCCCAAGCGAGAAGAAACCCGTCCATTCCTGTACCCCAGCCCTAGGCAGCCCCTAATCTACTCCTGCCCCTGCCTTTCCCGTCTGGACATTTGGTGCTGATGAAGTCAGACCACGGGGGTCGCAGTGAATGGGGGGCGAGGGGGCGCCTGGTGTCCACCCCCAGCGGAGGATCTGTCCCCAGCACAGAGGGGAGGACTGGTTGTGTGCACTGTCCTGGCCCTCGTGCCATCTTGGGGCATGGGCAGGAAACAAAAGTCCAGCTGTCAAGCTTCAAGCTGGCCAGCTTCGGCAGGGTCAGGGGTCAGCAACCTCCAAGCCGACCACCTGCCTTCAGTCCCTGCCAGCTGCTCTGGGCAAGGTCACACAGCCGGCCTGGTGGCCAGCACCCCCTGCCCTGCCCAGGACAGCAGCGGGCCCAGGGCTCTGCCTGGGGCACAGGCTGGGATCCAGCCCACCTCCTCTGGGTGACATCCTGTAACACCTTGTTCCCCGTGGCTCTGGTTTGGGGTGTCCCCCCAGGCTGGCTGGCGGGTTTCCCAGCTAGAGAACAGTTAAGGCTCTCGGTGCCAGACCACCCACCCCAACACTCTGTCCCTTCACAGCTGCTCAACCCCTCCCTCTGGGCAGCAGGACCTCAGTCCTGGTGGCTGTATAACGCTCAGAGGAGTGTGGGTGTGCACGCCGTGCTGGGGGCGCACATGGGCACTGACCATCCTTTTGCGTTTCTGCTTCGCAGGCCACGGGATAGACAGCCGGCCCGCCATGGCCATCTTTGAACTGCTGGACTACATTGTGAATGAGGTCAGTGCCGGGGCCCAGGCCCGGGCCCTTCCTGCAGGCATTGGGCGTGTGACCTGACATCTGGCTGCACTCTGGCTATACCCTTCTCGCCCTCCCCCCTTCCCTGTCTCTCCTTCCTCTCCCCACCGCCCTCTGTGTCTCTCCCATTCTTAGTCCCCCTCCTGTCTGTCTCTCCTCACGTTCTCTTCTTCTCCTGTCTCTGTCTACCCTTCTGTGTCTCTCTTTTCCTTCCCCTCCTTGTCTCCCTCCCCCTCAATCCCCAGCTTTAGGGGAAGGCCTGTGGACTGACTCTTGCTGGGCATTCTCACACTCATAGCTGTACCTCCCTGTGTGTGTCTGTCCGCCTGTCCTACCGTGTTCCGAAGAGACCGTGCAGAAGAGGTTGGTTTGGGGCCTACCTTGCAGGGGTAGCCTCACAGACATAGCAGTCGTCCTGTCTCCGTTGGGCCCCCAGGATGGCGTCAGCCCACCACACCCATTTCCAAACTGCCCACTGCCAAGAAACGCCAGCACATCTCCCTCCAAGGAGTGGCCAGGCTGCAGAGCATCTGCTGGCACTCCGCCGCTGCGCCACCAGCGCTCCTTAGCACTGCCCTTCAGGCCGTTGGCTCTGGCCCTTAGTGACCCTGGGACAAGGCAGACTGCCCCTGGGGTTGCTGCAGCTGGGAGTCCCAACAAAGCTACAGGCCCCGGTGTTGGAACTTCAGCTGACAGAGTGGGGCAGTCTATCCGACCACCTGTTAGAGGAAAAAACTGGGCAAACTTTCCCACAGGGGACCAAGAGGTGTGAAAACACACACCCCCCCCCTCCTGCCACCCATCTTGTCCCAAGTCCCCAGGGACCCAGCCCTCCAGCCCAGGCACCTGCTTGTCCCACCTGGTCCCTACCCGGAAGTTTCCAGCACCTCGGCTCCTGGCACCTGAGCCACTTGGCACCCGGAAGTGGAGACTGATGAATAATGGCAGGGGGCCAGGTGTTCCTCTCAGGGTGGGGGTGCTCAGCATGTCTTCTTGGCCTCCTGGCCCCTGTCACTGGGCGGACGTGACCTCAGCCCTGAAGGACAGGTGTTTTCAAGGATACCAGGAGGCCGGCATGCCCACTGTGCCACCCTGCCCCCATTGCTGGAAGTGACCTCAGAGTGGCTCTGGGCTCTAAGAGAGCCACCTCACCCAACCCAACACCCCTGCCCATGCCCCCTCGGCCTGGGTGGGTTCTCTGGGCCCCTTAGAGTGAGAACAGACAGGGTGGTGGCCCTAGTGACACAGCTCTCCTGCACCTACTGCCAGCCCCTCCCACCCCAGGTGCAGGCCCAGTGGCCGAGGGGGAAGGGAGACCCCATGGCTTTGCCAGGACTTTCCCTATCTCTGCAGCCAGACCCCAGGAGACGCATTCAGGACCCCATAGGCAGGGACATCAGCCGGGAGCATGACCTCCACCTCACTCCCAAGGTCATGCCTGAACCGAGGCTCTGAGCAAACTGCTTCCTGGGCAACCTGGTCCTAGTCCAGGGGTGCCTTGTGCTCCCAGCCTGACAGCCTCTGAGTGTTGAGAGGGCAGTGACCCTGCCCGCTCTCCACACCTGAAGCCCCCCCCCCCGGAACCCAGGCAGGAAGAAGTGTAGAAGAACCAAAGCACCCATGGGTGGGGTGTCTCAGGAGCCCAGGAGGCAGTCAGGGGCACGCTCCAGTGCTCCCTCTGCTTCCTCCAGGGTCACTCCAGCCTCAGGCAGTGTGACCTCCCGGGTCCTGGAGCCCACAGCCTGCCCTCTTCCTTCCACAGCCTCCCCCAAAACTGCCCAGTGGTGTCTTCACCCAGGATTTCCAGGAGTTTGTAAATAAATGGTGAGCAGAGGGGTGCTGCAGGGAGGGGGCTGGGGGCAGGCTGGCAACACCTCGGCTGTGGCCTGGTCATACTTCCCCAGAGTGGACAATGTGATTCTCCCTGCCCTCCCTCCTCCCCAAACAAGACCACACCCCATTTCTCTGGGGTCCCGGCCTGGCCCCTGGGCATCTGGCTGGAGAAACGGGAGCAGTTCCCACCTGGGGTTCCTTCCCCTTGCTCTCCCTGCCTCCCCCCCACCCCCACCCACCCACACACAGACACTGATGGAGTGTTCTCTCCCCTCCCTGCGTGCCCTGGACCCCCAGCCTGATCAAGAACCCAGCGGAGCGCGCCGACCTCAAGATGCTGATGGTGAGTGAGGAAGGGAGCCTGAGGGGGATCTCCTATCCTCGAGGGGGGGGTTCTCTTTAAGTCTTGGGGTTCATGCAGGGCCTGGTCTCCCTGCTCTGTCCCCTTAGATACTGGGGGAGTGTCTCAGCTGGAGGGATGACCTCAGAGGCTCCATTTAAACTCTCCCCCACACGTCCCTGAGCCCAGCCGTCTGAATACTGGTCCCAGTGGACCAGGCTGTCCCTGGGGCCTGGGGGGCTTTGGCCTTCAGAGGTGCCCTCACTCACACTGGCCCCCATCGTCAGCGGCCCCAGCCGTGCACACAGCTGGCCCGACCTGACTCCTTGACCTAGGATACCTGTCAGGGCAGCTCGTCCGGGCCAGGAGACCTGGTCCAGTGGGAGAATGCCAGCGGCTGTACCGGAAGGATCTGGTCACTGGGAGACCCCAGACCATGTCCTTTGAGGGTTCCCATGCCCCCTCTGGAGGGCCAGCAGGGACCCACTGCTGTCCAGCCTCCCACCCCCTCCTGTCACCTCCAGTAAGCCCAGGGCATTTCACAAGGGTCCTCCTGTCCACCCTGAGTGGGCCTGCTACAGGACTGTGCTCCTGTGTGCTGTGTCCTGGAGAAGAGACACACCCTGCTCTCCACGGTAGGTGACAAGGTGACAGACACATGGGCTGCTGACTGCAATGTGAGCAGTTTGAACTCACGGTCACTCCTCAGAGTTGAGCTTTCTCATCCTCACCGCTGGAGCCCAGTAGGTAGCAGCCCGACAGACGGAGACAGATGAAGTCAATGTCGTCTTGCTTGGATCCATAATCAGCGCTCATGGAAGCCGCAGTCGAGATCAGAAGGACGAGTTGCAGTGGGTGCATCTGCTGCGTGAGACTGCTTTAAAGGGCTGAGAAGGCAGGGTGTTAACTTGGAGCACTAAGGTGCGCCCGACCCAGCCAGGGGCCTTTCCATTGCCTCGTAGGCGTGTGACCGTGGACACTGCAGATGGGAGACTGGGGAAGAATGTTGACCGGCCGTGGACAAATAAGTCTGTCTCAGAAGTGTGGCCAGAGTGCTCCACGTGTTGCCAGCAGAGGTCAGCCCCTGGAGGAGGAGATTGTGCTCCATAAAGTATCAGGGCAGCAAAGGGAGGAAGGAAGACCAGCGATGAGCTGGGTTGACATGGTGGCGGCATCACTGGACTCAGGCACAACCACGGTCACAGCTGTAAGGCTGGTGCAGGACTGGGCAGCATGTGTGCTGCCCGACAGAGGGTCACTGTGGGTCAGCACCCACTCGATGCTCCCATGAAGCGCTAACAGTCTGGGAGACCATGGGGACAGCTCTGCCCTGTCCTCTAGGGCCACTGTGAGTGGGATCAACTTGGTGGTGGCTTTGGTTTGGGGTGGGGGGAGTTGGGGTTTATGATTTTTCCCCCCTCCCTTTATACCTGTCCCATTCCCTAATGCCACTGTAACAGACACCACAAGGGCAGGCTGTGGCAGACCAGTGAGATGATTCTCGGTCAGGCTGGAAGGTACGCTCGCCATCTAGTGGGGGGGCCTGGTCCCTCTGAGCTGCTGTTCCTTAGGGAGCGTCATCAAGTGGCCACTGCCGCTGCCCGCTTCTCTGGGCTTCACCTGCACCCTGGGTCTCCCAAAGGTGATGGGCTGCGGATGGACAGTTAGTGTTTTGGGGGGATGTGAGCAAGTCCCTATGGGGGCACCCAGGGCTTCGAGCCTTGGCCGCTGCCAGGGACCCCTGGCAAGTCCCCCCAGCATGTCAGTGTGCCCATGGCAGGTGGCTTGCAGGTCTGCATGTCCAAACCCACTACCACAAAGTCCCTTCCTACTGGTCATGAGCCCGTAGGACCAAAGAATGCACTCCCTAGGTCCGCGAACTGTTACACCACATGGTGGCTCACTGCTGAACCCAGTGACATCTGGGGGGTGGGGGGGCTCAAAGAAGGAATTTTCCCCCAAGCTTTCTGCTGCCCCTACCCACCACGTTCCACAGGAGCTGGCAGGGCTGTGGCACCCTGCCTGGTGGTTGTCACATAATGCAACGCAGCCTTAGCTGGCAGTACGGGCTGGTCAGCAGCCTGGGCTCAGTCCTTAGGTGGACACCTAGGTGGGCAGCTGCACCAAGTCAAGGGGTAGTGCCAGCCTCGGTGTCTCCACTTGACTTCCTGGGCCAACTGCAGGACACGCTGACAGTGGCTCGGCTGCCGCCTCTGCTCGGTGTGCTGTGGGCAACAGGTTTTCACAGGGTGTAAGCCAGGGCTATTTGCTCCTCTCCTGAGAACTAACCCCACAGTGGGTCTTTGGGGAGTCACTTGCCATGCCTTTCTTCCTAGTCTGGCCAACCTCAGAAGTGCTGCCAAAACCAGTTCAGCACCGTGCTACGCACGCCAGATGGAACTGGAGACCCAGTGTGAAGGGCAGAGACTCTGCCCTGCTGCTCTGTGTGTGTTGTGGGCTTAGATGTCCCTCCCTCCTGCATCAGGATTGTACCCTCTTCCCATACTTAGCTCAGTCTACATGCTGAGAAAATCCTCAGAGAAGCAGGTTTATATGAAGAAGAGTGTGGCTTCAGGTTTGGAGGAAGGCTTATTGACAACCTTTCTTGCCAAAGTGAGGAGGACTTGAAGCACTTGCTGACGGAGATCAAAGATTGCAGCAGTCAGTCTGGATTACACCTCAGTGTCAGGAAGATCACAGCCCTCACAACTGGGCCGCAGGGAACATCCCGACAAACGGAGAAAAGATGGAAGTTGTCAAGGATTTCGTCTTGCTTGGATCCACAATCAACGCTTGTGGAAGCATTAGTCAAGAGATCAAAAGGCGTGTTGCGTGAGGCAGATGTGCTGCACAAGACCTCTTTAGCGTGCTGAAGAGCAGGGATGTTACTCGGAGGACTAAGGCGCGCCTGACCCCAGCCATGGAATTCTGCGTTGCATCGTCAAGCATGTGAACCTTGGACATTGAGTAAGGAAGACTGTACAAGAACCGATGCATTGTGCTGGTTGCTGTGAGCTGGAACCAACTCGGCACCTAATTGCCGTGGGCCTGGCCCTTGCCTCCCTGCTCTGTGGAGTTCCGTGGCCCTGCGCCTTCCTAGCCAGGAGGCTGAGTGCTCACAGTGCCCTGTGGGAGCCACCACCAACTGCTATCATCCATGCTGACTGTGACCCCGAGGACAGAGAAGCCCAGCGCTGTCAGTCTTTACAGGGCAGAGTGCCTCCCTTTTCTCCGGAGAGCACCCGGTGCTTACCCCTCAGCACCACCGGGGCCCCTTGCGGACCTATGAGCCTGTTGGAATGACTTGGAATTCAGAAACTGGGGCTGCAGTCACACCTGCCATCAGCAGAATGTTCTAGACAGTGCTGCTCGAAGCTGAGGGCAGTGGACTCCCCTGAAGGGCCCTGCCCACAGGGGACTCTGGGGATATTAAAACCGGGAGTCACCAGTGCCATCCAGAGGTGTTGCCCACTCCCCCACAGTGCACAGGACACCCAGCTCTGGGGGCAGGACGAGCATCCATGCATGCCTCAGGCTGGCCCCTCCCTGGATCAGTGCAGCCTGTCCCCCTCCCCTCTGCTTTTGGTCTCTAGTTGAATGTGTGCCTTAAGGAGAATGGACCAGGTGGGGGTTCTGTGTCTCCATATTGCCCCCATCGCATCCCCTGTCGGCCAAGTTGCCGGCCCCACTGCTCACCCAACTCTTCCCTTGCAGAACCACCCCTTCATCAAACGGTCTGAGGTGGAAGAAGTGGACTTCGCAGGCTGGTTGTGCCAGACGCTGCGGTTGAACCAGCCCAGCACGCCCACGCGCACGGCCGTGTGAGGGGGACGCCGGCCAGACACCCTTCCTGGCCCCATCTGCCAGCCAGAGACAGGCCTGCCCCCCACGGAAGACGCCTGACCGCCCTGCACTCCCGCCATTCACTGGCGTGTCGCGCCTGTGCTCGGGGGAAGGGAAGGGGGCGGCTCGCAGTCTTTGGGACCTGCTTACCTAAGTTTAAAACGGAAGAAAAAAACAAAAAAAAACCGGGAAAGAAAAAGCAAACGGTGCCCCTGTCCTTTCTGTTCCCCCTGCTTGGGGCGGCCGTGGCCTTTGCGTGTCCCTGGGTGGTGGGACCGAGGAGCCCCGATGGCCAATGGTGGCGCACCGGCAGCTCCGGGGTGGAAGGTGAGAGTACTGCTGCACGGAGTGCGTCTCAGAAACTCGCGCTTGGTTCTGGGGGGTCCCGTCGACGCCATGGGGTGAGTTTGGTGTGAACTAGGCCTCTCCTGCTGCCAACCGCAACCTTGACCCAGCGGTGCCGCGGAAAAGCGACCCCGCCATCAGCGGCCCAAAGGGCTTGTGGTACTGTTCTCACCCGGGGGCGCGGGTGAAGGAGCGCCCCAGCAGGTCCTTCTGGTGCAGTCAACGCTAGCTACTTGGCCAGCCCGTGGTCGGTGTCCCGCTGTTGTCACCACCAGAGTCTGCCTGGGGGTGGGGGCCCCTCAGTCCCCCGAGGGGCAGGAAAGGAAGCGCCACGGGGCTTCCACCAGATCTGCCAGATAACGGGCCGCCCTCGCATCTCCCTCCGCCGGTCTGCCAATCAGGATGTTCCTTCCACCAGTTCCCCCAATCAGGATGACCCTTGAATCTCCCCGCCAATCAGGAGCCCGCCTCTGTCGCTGCTCCAGGTGGCCGTCTGGGTTAGCTGAAGGGAGTGCAGGTGGCAATTCCCTTCCCCAGCTCTCCCGCGCAGCCGCCCTCTGCCTCAGCTTGTTCGCCCTGAGCCACAACCAAGGTGGGCTCCGACCCCAGGCCTCCAGCCGGGCAGTAGGAAGTAGGGGGGGTGTGGGGAAGCGGGGAGGCAGAGCCCTGCCTCCCGGGGTGGGGGGGGCCCTGCCTGAGGATGTCAAGGCTGAGTGAGCTGACCCCCACTACTTCCTGGCAGCTTGAAACATGCTGATGTGTATCTGGGGAAGGCGTCTCCGGGAGGGCAACGAAGGAAGGCCGAGGCTTGTGGTCCACTAGCAACCGCTGGGTGGTCCTTTTCTTTCCTCCTCCCGGAAACCCTTCGCCTCTGTTGCTTTTTTCCTGTGGACGCTGAAGAGAACATAGTTTGGCTTCCCCTTCAACCCCCACCCCTAAAGCTGGAATGATTGTTTGTTTGTTGTAAGTATTAAGGTCTTCGAAGGTGGCAGTGGGTAGGTGGCCCTGATCCGTCCTGGGTGTCTTCACTCCCACACACACTGAGCGTGACCTGGTCGGGGGCCTGGCGATCTGTTGTCAAGATGAGTCTGTGAAAATCCTGTGGAGCCAAATTCATACCTCACACACACACACACACACACACACACACAGGGGTCACCATCAGTCGGAATGGGCTTCCTAGCTGTGTGTGTGTGTGTGTGTGTGTGTGTGTGTGTGTGTGTGTCTGTGTCTGTGTGTGTGACTGTGTATGTATAGGTGTGACTGTATATGTATCTGTGGGTATGTATATATTTGTGTGTGTGTCAAGCACACCTCAGCACAATGTGCGGGCTCCCCACTGCCCCTGTCTCCACCTCTCGTTCCCTAGAAACCCAGTCGCCAGCAAGACAAGTCCAAGCCCCAGCCCCTTGGGTCAGAGAACAGGGCGCCATCACACTCGCTAGCTGATTTTTCTTCTTTTTGGAAGTAGGTCACCAAGCCCTTTCAAGTGCCTCCCACCCACTTGGGGTCTCACCAAGCTGGGATCCCCTCAACAGCACTGGTTTCCATCTACATGAGAGCTAGAGCCCAACAGAGGCATCCATCAGCCAGGCTGTTAGGCACCTAAGGGCCCGCTTGCCTCCCCACCAGGGACCCCGAGGTTCTTAAGAGTCACCCAAAAACTGTGCCTAAAGCACAGGGAGCCGGCCTTGGGTTTGGGGAGTGATCGTTCTCTGCAAAAAGAACTCTGGTGGCACAGTGGTTAAGCATTCAGCTGTTCACTGGAAGGTCAGAGGTTCAAATCCCCAGTCAGTCCTCAGGAAAAAAGGATGCAGCTTTCTGCTTCCTGAAGATTCACAGCCTGGGACACCTTGGAGTGCCATCTTCCTCCCTGTAGCCACTGGGAGTCCCACTGGGAGTTGCAATCTGGCCCCATGAGTGGGTAACGACTGGGTGGCAGAAGAGCTAAGCTTTAGACTGCTAACGTAGGTGATTCCATCCCCCCTGTTGGTGATTCGAGCCCCCCTGATGGTTCCAGGGGAGGAGGACCTGGCTGCCTCCTCTCATAAAGATGGTCATTTCAGGAACGCCCACAGCATGGTGCTGCTGTGTCCTGCGTCCAGGGCAGTGGGTGGCCGATTCGTCACATCTCCAGTGGAAAGCAGGGAGATGGGGCTGACTTCGTTCACTCACATCATGCCCTCAGGCAAGCTCTGTCAGCTCCATGCCCTGGCCCTAGACCTCAGTGCAACCCCTTCCCCTGCCAGGGGTCTCTCTCCCTCTGGGGCCTGTGTGCCTGTGGCGGCAACCAGCCCCTCACCATAGGCCAGCTCAATAGTATCTCTGCAAGCCGAGTCGGACGTGCTGCCCCTTGCCTGACAGAAGGCTCACGGGTGGGGACAGCTCAGCACTGCTCTTTGCCCCTCACCCCCCACCGTGGAATGTTGTCAGGGCCAAGTAGGTGCCCTGTCACAGCGGCCCGTGGGACGGGGCAGAACCGCACATGGTCAGGCTGTCTGTGCGGAAGCCAGGTCATTCTGTGCCACGGAGCCACGGGGGAGGTTCACCCCGCCGTGGAGAGGCCGAGCGCTAACCCCTGTGTGACCGGCCGGGGCCTCGTAAGGTAACCAGACGTCCCACTTTTGGCGGGACAGTCCTGATTTTCAACAATTTTTCCTGCATCCTGCGGCGTTTTTAAAAAGTCCTAATTTTTGGAAAGAGTGCACAACAAGCTAGCGTGTTTTCGGCTGCCATGTGGCTATTTTGCCAGGATATGAGTTTTATCAATGGTGTCCCCGCTTTACCAATATTAAAATCTGGTCACCTTACAGTCTAATGGGATGTATTCTTCCACGTAGAGAAATATAAAATCCTAGTAACTAGTACCACAACAGAAAACCACGCTATTAAAAAAAATTTTTAAAGCTTGTGGCAAAAAGACAAATGCTGGGATTTCGTGGGTGGTGTGTGAAAGAAGCAGACGCACAGGCCCGGCAGTGGCTCTTGGTGATCCCAGGAGGGAGGGAGGGAGGGAGGGGATTGGATCAGGGAGTTTAGTCCGGGGCGTGGCGGAGGGGCGGAGATCCTGTTCAGGGTAGGTGGGCTGATTTTGAAAAGCAAAAACCCACGGCCGTGAATTCCTTCCAACTCACAGGGACCCTATAGGGCAGGGTGGGACTGCCCGTGGGTTCCCAGGCTGTCCATCTCTACAGCAGCACACCACCTCATCTTTCTCCCACGGAGCAGCTGGTGGGTCCGAACTCCAGACTCGGCGGCTAGCAGCCCAATGCGCAATCCTCTGCGCCACCAGAGCGCGCAGGACGTCACCACGTGGCATTGATGACATGCAACCGGGTGAGGTTTTTCAACCAAATCTGAAAGAAAAGAAAAAAGATCTCAGCAAAAGGAAAGGCCTGGCCAGCCCATCGTCTGTAGGTGACGAGGGGCGGGGATTGGGTTAAATGTTCCATCTGGGCAGCTGGACTCGTGGACAGCCGCCCACCCGCCCGCGTCATCCTGTGAACCCTCCTCCATCGACTCGGCCTGGCCTCTGGGGACTCGCCACGCCCTTCTCCAGTGTGGGGTGAAGCAGTCGGGTGAGGCAAGGGCAGGACTCCACAGCCCAAAGGCCTGCTTATCCACATGGGGTCCCTCTGGGCGCCCCCAGCACCAACAGGGCAGGAGGCCCTGGGGCCTTATTTAAAAGGGGACAGAGACCCATGCTGGCGGAGATGAATTTCATATTCACTTTCCTCTCACACTAAAACAATACCGTTTCAACGTGAGGGGAGGGGGAATCACTATAGTGTGGCCTTTGATTTTTTTTATGTGGGGGTGGGGGGGAATGGGAATACTTAATGTATTTAACATTTGGGGATTTGGTTTGACTGAGTCAGACCAGCCACATTTCGTGTTGTCCTGTCACAGGGGTCTGGTTGGGTTGGCACAAGCCTAAATTTAAAAAAAAATCATTTTTTTCGGGGATAAGCCTAAATTCTGTCCTGTCCCCTCCCAGCTGGCTTTCAGCCTGCAAGCTCCCAACAGAATCCGTCCTACCCCTATCGCTTACCCCTGTGCAACAGTGACGTACATCTTGGGGCCCAGAGATCTGGGCTCAGTGGGGCTTGGGCCAGGGGCAATCCTGTGATACTTCCCAGCCTCTCACGCCCGCTGGGTTTCTGAGGCTGTCAGTCATGAGAGAAGACAGCCCATCTTTCTCCCTCGGGGCTGTGGACATGGCAGTCAGTAGACAAACGCTTTATCCACAGCACCACCCTGACTGCTCACTACAAAACCGTGAACGTCATTTATGCCACTGAGCTGTGTGGCAAGTGACCCCATAAGACAGGGTAGAACTGCCCCTGGGTGTTTCGGAGAGTGTAACTATAGGAGTGGGAATCCTCTTTCTCCCAAGGAGCGGCTGGTGTTTTCAAACTACTGACCTTGTAGTTAGCAGCCCAACACATAACCCCCTCCACCGCCAGGGCTCCTAGTGCCAGGAAGTCAGGCCCAAGTCTTCTGAGGCTGCCGATCTTGACAGGAGTTGACAGCCTCATCACTCTCCCCCGAGGAACAGCTGGTGATTTTGAACTGTCGACCAGGTGGGTAGCAGGCCAACATCTACCAGGGCTCCTTTGCAACCACGGGGCGGGCAGGCTGAAAACCAAATAAAGCAAAACAAACCAAGGCTGTGCCTGCTCAGACTGGGATTGGCTTTCCTGGTTGGAAGGGCAGGACGCGGGCTCAGTGGGTCTCCCTCCAGTGAGGTGTTCCCCAGCCTCCTCTCTGCCCCCAGTTGTGTCCTGGTGCGGGAACACACACACACACTCGCAGGCATGGAGTCTACTCCTGACTCATAGTGGCAGTGTCGAACTGGT